TGGGCGAAGGAGTCGTCCCCAGTCAGTGATGTATTTAACCAAGTAAGGTTATATCTAAATCTAATATACTTCTGGAAGCGAAGACTAGCTCGAGGGTCTGGGTAGCGTAACTGGTAAGCGCGCCGCACGGCAAGCGGAGGCTGCGGGTTCAAGTCCCGCCCCGGGCCAGTTCTTTTATTCCAGAAGGTTCTAAATTTATTTAATTAATTTTAATTATTAATTTATTTAAGAGATGGCGCCTAACGTCTACCTCAAGTGTCAAATTACTTTATTCCAATCATTTAATTAGCCGTATTATAGCCCGATATTTAGGCGATCGTTTGGTGATGTATTATAATGTATTTAAGATGATTACATTCATCTTGCAAGACTCTCAGATAAAGCATAATTTTTATAAAATCATAAGTAATAACAAACATAATTAAAACTCTGATCACAAGTAAATATATTGTTCCTTCTTTAATCTCAAGAACAGTGTTAGATAAATGAAAGTTGAGACCAGATATGAAAAACTTAGGAGTAGGAGGCCCAGATTAATTATATATGAACTTCCTCACACTAGACCTGAGGTCACTTGAGTTCAATTCAAAAATTTTCTCCAAAATGATGTTACATATATGACCAGCATGACTGCTGTTATCAAGAAAAGTACGATGTACTAGTACAGGAGCAAGATAGTACTAATTTGAGGTGGAGAGTATATATTTTACATTAAAAAATTATTTAAAATTGCAGTCTGGTACTGTAACAATGTCATAATAAGTTTTGTTAGTATTTCATACATTATTGTTGTTATCTGAAAAAATTTGAAATATACATATATGTGAGAATGCGAGAGTAGCAAGCATTTATTTGAAATTTAATTCATTTTATTCAGAACATTTCTAGATTTCTCACTTGATTAACAACTTCCAATGTAATATTTTAGCTATAAAATAGACCAAAAATTTTTGTTTAGTGTGGAAAACAGAAGTAGAATTTCCTTTAGAAAGTTATTATCTACTTTATCTGACAAACATCTGTCTCTTGCATCAGATATGTGTCTGGTCAGACAATCAGAATCCTACAATCTGATTGGTGGTAACTGAGAATAAATACGGGGAAAATTCACGAGTTCGGGGCAGTTTGCAATTAATTCAAATGTGCTATAAATGACAGGCAGTCTACAGAAGAAGAGATTTGCCACACTCGACAGACAGTCCATGAGAATTAGGAACATACCATATTGACAGCAGTCCACGACCAGAAGGAAGCTGCCATAAGAATATCAACAGAGGAGATTTGCCGCTCCAACTCTCCAGCATTCATCTCAGATTCTCCAAGTTTGATCGACCAAGGTATTATCCTTATTTTTAACCGATTGTAAACTCACTCTCTTGTGTTTTACAGGTGTATTCTAATAGACTCAATTTATGATAGGTATATTATGTATCTTGAATTATGTATCTCTTTGTCTTATTTTATTCATTAAATCTTTTTGTTATTTGTTAACCTATTGAATCCCTCTGTTAGTTAAGTACAGACATTCACCCCTCTACAATCAGAACTTACCTGTGACTTCCTCCCCATTCAAATAATAGTCCTCCTACATGCCATCCAGTGACCCTATGAGTAGTCTAATGGTTCTAACAACTAGAGGGTATTACATCTTTGCGCATGATCTCACATATATTTATATTTTATTCAGATAACGACAAATAAATAAATAAATGAAGTTATAAAAGTAATAATTCTAATATAAATATCTAAAGACCAGAAATCTTGTTTAATACAATAAATTTTTCAAATTAATACATACTTTCCATCTTTCACAAGGTTAATCAATTCTTGTTCTATTTTCAATAGCATCATTCTATCCTTTTGGTTTTTATGCAGTGTATCAATTATGAATTGCTGAATATCAATTCCTGTAGATTCCATATATGTTTCTGTGCTAGAATCTGATATAAAATTTACAATTTGAAACGTTTATATAAATGTAAAACTTCAAATATGAATAAAAAATATATTTGTATTATTTTTATAATTATTTTATAATTAAAACAATTAATATTATTTTATCTTTATTATCTACAAAAATATTAAATATAATTTTAATAAGTAATTTTGTTTCACTTGACCTTAAATCATTTTCAAGATCATATAAAACAATCACTTTTATTTATCATATATTTAAAGTTGTAAATAATACATCCAAATATATTTATCTGAATCTAGAAAATAATCTTATACTAGTTAAGTGGTGCATTAACTTTGTCATTGAAACTTTTATGTTACCTCATTGTTAAAGTAATATGAGTGACCTGAAAAATAATTTTCAGATGTATAGGAATTAAATAGTATCTCTTATCATCCAATTCTCTATACATAATTTCCTATGTAACTACATTAACAAAATTAACATATCTTTAATGTTTTTGGAATAAAAAGTATGCAAGGGACTTTTGACTCACCCTGCATACTGTATATACAACAGGCTCTGGATTCAACAGACCAATTGGGAAAAAGTGTCCACTATTGCTAAAAGCCCATTAAGTTAATTGTTTTAAAAGCATAACAATCAAACCTGTATATAGCAAAAATCTGTCATTAATGGAAGATTTTTTCAATTCCTTGAATTTTCTGCAGAAACAATGTAAATTAACCTGTATACAGCAAAACCTGTCCAACACGGAAACAAAAAGGAATCTTGGGTTATACAATGAAAACTTTAGTATCCTCTTCCATGCTGGAAAGTTTTTGTGTACAGCTGTTATTACTTATCACATAAAGATTATTTACTTATAACAGTTGTGAAATTTAACACATTATTACTAATGTGGAGATTAAAATAAGCTTGTAGACAAAAAATACAAACTTTTTATATCATATTTTGTTTGAATAAAATTGAGTCAAAATGTCTGCAGATAAAACGCATATTGGTGATATAATACTTTTTAAGTTTTGTAAAGGATATAATGCCATACAAACAGTAAAAAATACTCATAGTGTGTATGGGAAAGATGCTCTTAAACTTCTAATGTATCAAATATAGTTTGAAAGTTTCGTTCAAAAATTTTGAACTAAAAAATACAAAATGTACAGAGTATCCAAAAACTGTCAACAAAGAAAAATTGCAGGCAGAAATTGTTAAAAATAGACAAATAACAACTCATGAACTTGCAACAAATCTTAGTGTGTCACAGACACATTGTTGAAACATGTCATCCACTTGAAATGGTTGCAAAACACAGTAACAATTGTGTTCCACATGCATTAAGGGGGAATAAACTGAATCAAGTATAATTTTATCTGGCAAAAACAGGCAGCTCTAACATTTCATTTTATTTTTAAATTAGTTACTCATTTTTATCATAGAAAACGTTTTTACTGATGACAAAATTAAATTAATTAAAATAAAAGTTTTTATTATTAACTGAAAATTTGTTCTAGGGGTGATGATTGCTTGGTTGAGTACACATGATTTTGATATACAAGCATTGAGAATTAATCAATCATATTAATCAAGGGATGCCTGTAATAGGTAGCCTCTATATATTGTGGAAACCTATCTACTATGAAAGAACTGCTCAGTCCCTTGAGATTCCATTATAGACAGGTTTGACTGTATTAATAACAAACAAATAACAGTGTATAAGATGTATTAAAATTTTTTTATAATGTACGTTCAGTTATACTCATTGTTGCATATTTTAGTATGCTCTGTCTACAAATAAAAATGAAGATTCTAAATTTTTCCTTTAGGAAAAGCTTTTGACAATTAAATTAAATGTCTATATAATGTATGTATGTATGTATGTATGTATGTATACATATGAATCATGTATATGTATGTATACATGATTCATATATATATATATAATGAATCATGTATATATATATATTTATATGTATACGTACATATACATATACAGTGGTACCGCAGTATACGTCTGCTTTAAAATACGTCCTGTTTGGAGGAAACAAATTTTGCTCGGTATACAACTTAATTCAATTATACATGCTATCTATGATCAAGTAGCACTATCGATGTACTAGACCAGACTAGACGTTCGTGGTGCCATGGTTTATAGCAAGGTTGAGGCCGAAGTTTTAAATGCGAAAACGTGTACGTCAGACATTCAGCGCTGCTTTCCTGTAAGCCTAGAAGTTTGACAATGGTGTTTGGAATGTCAAGCATGATTCCACTGACTATCCAAACACCATTGTCAAACTTCCAGGCTTACAGGAAAGCGGCGCTGAACGTCTGACGTACACGTTTTTGTGTTTAAAACTGCGGCCTCAACCTCGCTTATAACTTTGTTAAATTTCTTCTGATTTTAATTTGTAAGTAAACTATTATTACTTTTATTAATCATGAATTGCAAAAATGCAAATGAAAAGCAACAGAAAACTAAAAAATGACTAGAATCACAATGGAACTNGCATTTAAAACTGCGGCCTCAACCTCGCTTATAACTTTGTTAAATTTCTTCTGATTTTAATTTGTAAGTAAACTATTATTACTTTTATTAATCATGAATTGCAAAAATGCAAATGAAAAGCAACAGAAAACTAAAAAATGACTAGAATCACAATGGAACTGAAAAAAGATTATTGAGAAATATGAAGGTGGCATGCGTGTTCAAGATTTAACTGTTGCATACCGTATTCCATGAACAACAATATCGACAATCATGAAAAATAAAGATATTATTAAATCTGCTAATGTTGCAAAAGGGGTTAAATCAATTTCTAAACAGAGATTGAAGACATTAGATCATGTCGAGAAATTGCTTTTGCTTTGAATAACTGAAAAACAGTTGCAGGCGACATCGTATCAGAAGCAATTATTTGCGAGAAAGCTAAAAAGATACATGCTGATCTCATGAAAAATCAAGCAGGAACTAGCCAGGAAAGCAAGGTGTTTAAAGCCAGCCGGTTTTTTTTTACATGAGAATGGATTAATCATTTTTACATTACTTCTTATGGGAAAGGTTGGTTTGGTATATGTCCTATTCGGTATAAGTCCAAACATCAGGAACCGATTAATGTCGTATACTGAGGTTCCACTGTATATATAATGTATCTCAGATATCCGCTGTATATATAATGTATCTCAGATATCCACTGTATATATAATGTATCTCAGATATCCACTGTATCTTTTGCTACTGACATATACCATAAATTGCAGTATATAAGTCAACTTTTTAAGCCTAAAAAATATTTGAAGTATGTCCAATAAAAATACCATATACAATATTGACATTTCAGTTCTAACTAATCATATATTTAGTAGTTGACTTATAAAGCAAGTATGTTTGTACTTAAGTTTTGAGTTAAAAATCTAGAGACTGACTTGTGTCATAATTTATGGTAACTATATTTTTTTTTGTCTTCAGCATGTAATTTTTAGCTTGTAAATTCTAATGTTTTCTAATTTGAGTTTTTTGTTAATAAGATTTAACATTAAAAAATTTCAGCATTAACCATATACTAAATTTTTAACATAACATACTAAAAACATGTATATAACGTAAATATTTAATGTGCAAAAAATCACTTTCATACCTCGTGAAAGACTAGGAGAAGAACCTTCCATGCTGCCCTGGGTACTTCCTAATGAGCTGCCTTGTCTAACTAACTGATTTGGTTTCGAAGATATCTTCGATTGATTCTAAAAATAAAACAAAAATATTAATTTGAAATAGTTATTATTTTAAATAATTTGATACAATAAACATTTTACTTGAAAAAATTAAAATAATACATTTATACTCACTTGAGAAGAAAACAATGAAGCACAAGTAACACTTAGCATATTAGTATTTGTAGCTATTACATCTGGATCTGGTGGTGGTGAGGTGTCATCATGAACTGCTTGACTTCTTACAAGTAATTTTACTCTTTGATGAGATGACTAAAAAGTTAAAGAAAATTAAATTTGAGAAAAAATTATAAATTACAATTTTTTAAAATATTTTAATATTGCTGGTTGAAATTATTTTTTTCCAATATCCAAACTATTAACTTATCTGTTTCATTTTGATATTTTATCAAGCAAAATATCTAAACCCAAAAAACACATTATAGTAACATTATTAAACTACTTTGTTCAAAAAATAATACAGTAGAGCGTCGATTATCCAAAAAAATTCCAGTCGACAAATTTAAATTTTCGCCAGTGCTGTGGCATTGCAATCTTTGGCTATGTCTTAAGCTACTCAAATATTTTACCTTTTTGATACTAAATTAACTTATGAAGTATAATTTTTTATTGTTTTTATATTTTTCAATATATTTATTTTGTTTGTACAAAATAAAAAAATAATTTTTAATGATACAATAGTCTTCATTAGGCTTAACATCGACAAAAATTCAACGCGAAGCGACATGAAACGGAGAAAAATTTCAACATGGGTTCGGTTAATATATTTTTTCATACATAATCAGTTATCCGAAATATCGATTTTCTGAACAACCCCAGTCCCCAATTGATTCGGATAATCGACGCTCTACTGTACTTCAAAAAAACAAAAAAAAAGTAATTTAAATGTAATAATTTTTATCAAATAACTTAATAAAACTAATAAAATATAAATACTTTTAAATTCTGCTACTGGTCTGACAGTTCTCTTAATGTCTTTTAATCTTTAAATAATTGCTTAATAAGTTTGAAACATGTTATGTTACAAAAAAGTCATCTTTTTTTTTTAATTTACTTGTCTTAAAATTATCATTGGTTATGTTGAGAACTTTAACAAACTTTCTCAATTTTTTTTTCAATGAAATTTATGTACAGTATAATAAATAGATAAATCAAATAATCACACTGTCAATGGAAATATTAATATATATGATCCCCATCTCTCCCCTTCTAAGAAACACTCATATGTCTTATATTGGAGCCACCACAAGACAAATTAAAAAACATATTATATATCACTAGATGGACATTAATAAAGATAACAGTGTACCCAGTTTGCAAGATGTGTTGAAGGATAACTATACATGACACTAAGCTGATGTAAATTTGTTCAAGAACGTAACTGATGTCAAGCAATTTTTTGTACGTAAAACATTGTTTATTAGGCAATTAATTTAAACTCCATAAATAATCCCACTATATATCCTCCAGAATTTTGACTAATTTGTATGATTTAAAACACTAAGCTTAGTTATTATAAAAACTCCCATCCTACCCATCCCCTTCCTTATCAACTCATGCAATTAATGAATGCATTCATAAGACATTATTTTAAAACATTCAAACATTTGAGGTTCATTATGTTCTATGATTATATTTCAAATTATGTTATGTCCTTTTAGTATTTAGTTCTTCAAGACAATATTACATAATGTTGAAAATATTTGAGCATAAAGTAAAATAATTTTTTGCACTATTGTATGTTCTTATTTGTTACTATTATTGGTACAAGTGAGGAGCCTTTAGGTCAAATGCTCCTCAATCAAAAAGATGCATTGTGCACACACAGTTGTTTAATTTGTAACAATATAAATTGGATTTTATTTACACAGAATAGCATTTTATGCACACCATATATAAGATTCAATACAGTCGACCCCCCCTATAACATGGTAGATACGTTCCGTTCTTTATGAAATTGATGTTCTAAGAGTTCTCGAATACATGAGCCAATCACAGCCCGGCACGTATGCAGTTATGGACTATGGCTGTTTGAAAGGTTTTCTTCCATAAAATTAATCAATTCTAGACTAATTCGACTCAAATTTCCAAAATACGTATAATTTTTTGGGAATAATCCATATAAACTATGCTATAAACAAAAAATTGTAGGATTACTTACCGAGCGTGCACCATTCGACAACACCATTGCTTAAGCTTGTTTTCGTTGTGGAGCTTGTCATCGAATGATGCTCGTGTGCTACCTGATAAATTATTTTTTCTGCAAAAAATTTGCTGAACTTTGCAGACATCATTAATATAAATATAATTTTTATGGACATTAAATAATAAATTGTTTTTAGTAGGTTCGCTGCTAGTTTAAACTCAACGGTTTGTACAATATCTGCTATTGGTCTAGATTCGACCAGTCCTGTCGCGACGTTTTACCGAATTATATGAGTTTTTTTAGTGTGTTTGTACGAATACTGTCACAATTTTTTCACTGCCATATAGGAATCTGAACTATATGAACCTGTGTTATGGGGGGTCGACTGTATTTCAAAAAAATATTTTCATGTTGTGATTTTGAATTTCACTAATATTTTTTATATTAGTGACAATATACGTACAAACACGCTAAAAAAACTCATATAATTCGGTAAAATATCATCGCGACAGGACTGGTCGAATCTAGACCAATAGCAGCTNGATAGTGTATTCAAGTTAATAATAATCTGTATTGAAATTTAATTTATATATATTAACTAAATTTTTGCCATGAACGCTTTTGCGAAATTAAAAGCCCATAGAATTTTTAAACAATACGTTTTTACATTAACGTGTAAATAAAATTTCTGCTAAATTAATAAGTACTTTTAATTGTCATTCTTAATATTGCTGTAAATTTCCGAATTCGGACTAATAGGAAGTGAAGGTTTTCGGAGTTTACGAACCTCTGGGTTAGCGGGGTGTTTCCTCCAATTTACCCCAATGATATGGAAAACGAGAAGGTAAGAAATGCAATATAGTCATTTATTATGATCAACTCTATACATAAGTTTAATTGAGTTTTAGTAGGATAATTATTCTGCTGAATTTATTGTTATAGGAAATGAGAATAAAAATGTTCACACCAATACAGTATGCAGCAATTTTAATTATTATCGTGAGAATCTGGAGTTAAGGGATTTATTTTAACAGATTTGTTAAAATATTTAAAAATTATTTTGATAGAAAAATTATCTATCTAAGTTAAAAGAACTTCCTTTTAGTCACAGAGAGAAAACAGTTTAGATCCTTCAAAAGTGATAGTTTAAGTGTGTTGTCTCAATCTTCGATCTGTAAGATCACCTGCGACTTCCAATGCGCATTGAAAGTGTGGTGTGATTTTCCAATAATTCTATTGGATAGAATTCAGTATAAAAGGTGAGAGGTCACCCTCCAACTTGCTCTTGTTGGCACTCTTACTTGGCACCCAATGCTTTAGCCAATGCTCTTATCACTCTCCCAGTTCATCACCTCTGCTCGTCCCAAGGACTCTCCACCTTAGGTAATATAATTATTTTACATAATATTTCTCTCATCAGAATAGAGTTAGAGATTTAGAATTAGATATCCTCACATATTTTATAGTGAAGCTTAATCATTTATGTTTATCATAGTCATCATTTATTTATATATATCAGGGGTTGTCAACCTTTCAGAAGGGCCAGCATGATTCTACCAAGTTTATTATATATGTTATCAAAATTAGTCATTATAACTGACTTCAAAAATGTATAATTTTTGATATTAAGTCATTAACTGAATTATGTTCTTACAAGTGAAGCACTTGCATAACACGTAAATGGAGATGGAGTGCAAACAGATGCGCTTCAAGAGATTCATTTTTAATGCACCACGGCATTCACTGAACTATGAAGTCAATTTAAATGTGTAATTAATAATTAAAATATAATTTTTGCTACATTTCTATTCACTTTGGCACGCGTGCCATAGGTTGCTGACCCCTGGTATATATAATAGTTATAATTTCATATAATAAAAATATAATTATATGCTTATTCGTTCCATTAATTTTATGCCTAATTCCATAATAGGGCCAAATAACTCATGTAACCTACACAATTTATGTAATTCATGTATCTTACATCCTTTAATGTTTAAAATAAACCCTTCTAAAATTCCCGTCAAGTTTAAATTATCTGAGATTAAATATACTGCTAAAATTCGAAACACAAACCTCACAATTACGAAACCAGCACACACCCACCACTCTACAAATGACAAATTCTAAAGGTTTTAAGTTATTTGATTTAGTCCCCTCATTAGTACAGTGCAATGTCAATATAATAAAATTGAGGAAACCATCAAAATAGTTTCGTTATACTGAAATTTCATTATATTGCAATACGATCAAAAAATGCAAGGATAAAAGAAATTTGATGATGATAAAAAAACTTATTTTTTGAAATAAGAAAGTTTTTAAAAATACAATTTATCTATTTAGTACAGTGGGTGATCGGTTAATGAACAGTTCGGATAGTGAACAAATCGGATAACGAACACTTTTGTGAAAGATTTTTATGATCGGACAACAAAAACATGTTCGGATAATGAACAATTTACTGAACAAACAAACATAAGAAATGACAGAAAATAATGAATACTGATTGATTTTCCCTTGTCTTCAGGTAACAATTCAAAACCTTCGGAGCGCAGGAGATGTCAACATCGATGCTCAACCCGATATCGATCAGACAGTATTCTTCCGAATTTTGAAACTCTCCCTTGTAATTCTAGCTTTTTGTTTACCTTTCTGAAAAACAATTTTTTATAGTATTCACAAGACTGTCAGACAGGCACTTGTTAAATTTTGCATTAGGGTTTATTTACGAAAGATGAAAGTTTAACTGTCCCATCGGATATTCATTAATGTTTTAAAACCAAATTTCGAACTTTATCCGGGCCTTGTGTTTAAATATTTTTTTGTGGGCTAGTTGATTTCTGTTCTCTGAATTTTTGTAAGTGCTTTTCTGAACTTTTTATTTAAAAAAGAAACTGATAATATTATAGAGCCTAAAAAGAGGAGTGTCAAGAACTGTGCTCACCATAGCAACCAAGTAAGAAATAATAGCCAAGGTAGAAAGTGCAACAAGATGTCTGATGTTGCTAGGCAGTATAGGTCTACAGTAGGAACAATCTTAGCTATGAAAGATATACCAAGAAGTCTCAAGCTGTTAGTGGAGTAATGAAAATCACATCTGAGAAATAAAGAGCATTTTAGAGCTCATAATGGAACTGAAACTGATCTGATGACAGAAGAACTCCAAGAACTCTCAAATGAAGAATACCAAGAAACTCAGCAAGATGTGTTTTCTTTTGAAAAAGAGGAAGATGAAAGAGGACTAATGTTGACATCTGCTACTAAAGATCTTTTGAAGAAGTGGGAGGATGTCAGAACGACGATCATCCAAGTAACATCCAAACCAGAATAAAGTTCATGGAGTTGGAGATCTCTACAATTACAATACTATTAATTACTTCCGAAAAATCCTGAAGAAAAGAGAAAAGCAATCGACATTGGACAGATTCTTTAATCTCCATAAATGGTAAAAACATGATTAATAAAAATGCAAGACTGCATATATATGTATTTTTACTATTATATATAAATAAACATCGTAAAAAAATATTTATTTTTCTATTTTTTAGAGTCTCCGGAACAAATTAATCAAATTCCCATAAAACCTATGGTAAATCAATAATCGGTTAATGAACAAAGTCTTGGAATGGATTATATTCGTTAACCAATCACCCACTGTATTTATGTGGAACCAAATTTCACATTTTCAGAATGTAAGTTATATTAAATTAGAATAAAATTAAATCTGTAATAAAAAATTATGACAAAATATTATAAGCGAACAACTGAAATAACGATATAGTAGTACAGATTAGTTGGAATTCTGCCTCTCTGTTATTTCTGCTTGAAGCCATTATTTTCTGCTAAAGAAGTCTAATTTTTGTGTGTGTTGTTTCTTTAATAAAAGTCTTTTCAATAAAATTCAGTACTGTGACACAGCATTCTAGTAGGCCTTCAGGTACATCTTTTTATTTAATTCCTTTTTGCATGCTATCTAATTTTTTATTATTCTCTTCCAAAGAAACCTGCTTTTGTTTTTTATTTTTCGCCATTTTTTATCATAAACTTAAACAGAAATAAACTGTAGAGTAATAGCATCAAAACAAAACTATAACTAAAAATAAAAATTAGCATTGCCAGTTGAACTAGACATTAAAATTAATGTTGCCAGACTATTTGACATAATATTCATCATTTACTAATAATGAATGATTTATGCATTTATATATTTCATTATAATGAAACTATTCTTTTGTAATGGACAGCATTTTTGCTATATTAAACTGAAATTTTCATTATAACAGTATTTGTTAAACTGAAACATTTTTGCATTGAGCTGAATAGGAAATTAGCATGAAATTCAAGATATATTTGTTATACCGAAAATTTCATTAAACTGGTGTTTGTTATAGCAACATTATAACGACCATATTTCAGAGTTTTAATAGAAAATAGAAGTACAGCTAAATTAAGACGACAAAAAACTTTTGATTAATTAGGTGAAAAACATTTTCAAACTATTTTACAGTCTATGGGAAATAGTTTTAAAAACATTTCTCACCTATTAACAAGTTTTCAATTGTCTTAATCTAACTGTCCATTTATTTATTTTTGTTTTTATCAAGAAGAAACAAAAGTGTTTATAAGCAATAAAAATTAAAAAGGTCAATGCTAAATTTCACAAAATTAAAAAAGTCTATCTAAATATCAATTTTAAGTAATGATCATTTTTATCTATCATTACAGACAGAAACAACTATCATAGAAAGTTCATCAATCTCAATTACTAGTCTAACATAATTTTTGAATATTTTTTAAAGTTTTATTAACAAATTTATTATTATTTTTTCACTTTATAACAGTTAAATGTTACATTTTCAAAGATTCTATAAACTGAAAAAGATAAATAATACTACTTTGGTTTCTATTGTAACAGTGCAATAATATATTGATATATCAAACAAAACTAATAGATTAAAAATGTGATTTTAAATTCTCCTATTAAAATTCATATAAACTAATCAGTTTTATAACATTCATTTCATTTATCCAAATCTGAATTTCATTCTACAAATTTTGTTCTAAATATAAATTCATGAAAGAGAAGTGCATTGAAAACAAACTATTTGACTTAAAACAACACTGTTTTTGTTAACATAAAATACTTAAATAATTAAAAAATAACTGATTTTTTTAATGAAAAATAAATAAACAAAACAAATCTTACTCTTTTATTTTTCTCTGGTTTTCCACTTTGCGTAGGTCCAGGTGAATATCTAGAACTTGTTTTATTAGTTCTAGATTTCTGTGGACCATCACCATCACTACTTGCATCATCAGCAGTATCAAATCTTCCACCATCATTATCATCTTGATCCAATGCATCTTGAATTCCACCACCCCCTTCTTCTATTTGAATCATAACAGGAGAAGTCACACAATCTATTTCTTCAGACTCAAACTGATCTTGTTTAGCTAAACATGGCGGTCTATTCGATTGATGTTCCATTTCAATATTGGCACAATTGTTGCTGCTATAATTACTTCCACTCTTTATCACTACTATGTTACAGCAAGTTATAGAAATGAATTTTCTTTATATTGAGTATTCTCATTCAATATATCAACTCTTCTAGAAAAACCTAATAATAAAATAATAAAAAAGAATAATTAATAATAAGTAATAATTAAAGTTGATTACTTTAAATTTAAAATGCATTTTCTAGTTTTATAAATTTCAATAAGTATAATAGAAAGCAATAAAAAGTCAAACATAATTATAATTCAACTCATTATTAAACAATCAAAAAATCTTACTGGAACTAAATCAAATAAATAATATAAGTAAACAACGCCTTTTTTAACAGTCCAGCAAAAACATTTAATTCTCTAATAACGTTTTCGACCGATTTTAGCGGCCTTCATCAGTTACTCCAATATCAAAAAGAACAAAGTATTCGAAATTTACGTAATACAAAATTAAATAAAATTAAATTAAACTGCGGTTGTGTAGAACAACGGAAAAAAGTTAAATAAAAATAAAAATGCATAAATAAATAAATAAAAATAAACAAATAAACCCAAATAAATAATAATGCCGTCATCATGGATACATATATTAACTTGTGTTAGTGTAAAATGATTTCCAAGCAGTTGCCAAACCTTCTGCATCTCTGTGATTGATACATTCCGTGGCTATATGCGCTTTATG